TTAAGGACCAAGTGTCCTTAGCTTTTGAATTTGATACTCAAACTTAAGGACTGCATGTCCTTAGCTTATGAATTTTGAATTCAAACTTAAGGACAGACAGTCCTTAAGTTTTAAACTTGAATCTATAAGTTAAGGACCAATTGTCCTTAGCTTTTGAACTTCTAATTCAAATTTAAGGACTGCCTGTCATTAATTTTTCAGCATGAAAGGCTAAGTTCAGGATTAAATTCTAACTTGACATTTTCAAAATTTTCAGGGGACAAATTAATTTATATGTTGATGATAATAGTGTGAGGAAAAAACCATACAAATTGTATCATCAAAAAATCAATAGCAAAATGTTTTTCCTTGAGCTTTCAAATAGCAAATTTGTTCTTGATGATAAGGTTAGATAATTCACAAGGCATTTATTTTTTCTATTATTAATTTATCATTTTTCATTATTTTATGACTGATTTGTTATTGATTTGTTTTATTTTTTGCCTTTTTATGAAGCATATTGACATTGCTCTCTATTATCTGAGAAAGAAGGAATGCTACCACCCTCGCGATCATCCTTTTCGATGCACAACTACTGATGTTCTTTTTGATAATTATATGGCACTTGTGTATAAAGATTTCAGTGAAGATGCTAGTGATGAGTTTTGGTGTGCTGGTGATAATCAGTTATTTCTGACACCATATGTGTGGGGGGACAGCCGTAGATGTGGAATTGCATGGACTGAGGTTGACAAAATCTTTTTTCCATGTCGGCTTCCTTCAGAAGATGATGAAGCTGTGACACACTTTTTGTTGGGAGTATTGGACTTGAATCAAAAAAAGATTGATGTATATGATTCCATATACAGTGAGCCATATGAAGCAGGAATGAACTACATGCAAATGTATGCACGCATGATCCCCCATTTGCTAAAGTTCTCACAGTTTGACAAAAATCACAAGTCTTTTGGGAATGTCTTCAACAAATTTGATATACAGTGGCAAAGATCACCACACCAAACTGGATCAGACGTGTTGTTATTTGTTATATTATTTATATGTACTTAAGATTTATTGTTTAATTCATTACATATCTTACATTTCTCTTAGGACTGATTGTGGTGCATTCCTGATCAAATTT